TTGACTTGATACTATAACATTCTAAAAGGTAATGAAGAAAGCACTATTTGAGTGTCATGTACCGTGATAACTTATTCATGCTGCAACCATTGCGAAGATGGCTGAACTTGACAGGAAACTCCGAATGATGATAGCTGATGCGTACAAACAAGGTGATGCATATACAACACTTTCCTAGATCGACAATTGGTAACATTATCAAGAAATACAAGACTCATTGTGTTGAGAATAAATTAAGGACTGGCAAAGAACGGTTAATTTCTCAGAGAATGTAAAGGAAAATTGTTAGAGATGTCTCGAAGAATACTCGCTTAAAGACAAAGAACCTTGTCAATGATGTAAAGACATCAAGGTTGAATGTAACGACGAAGACAGTTACTAGATGCTTTGATCGAGTAGAACGTCTTGCTTGTTTCCCAATGAAATCATCTTTGCTTAAAGCTAAACTCCTAAAATGCAGATTAGTTTATACTAGAAGCCATCTAGAACATGAGAGTATACATTGGAACTTTGTTTTATGGTCATATGAAACCAAACTAGATTATTTGGTCACATGAAATCCCGTTATGTATGGAGGGAAGTGAATGAACCTCACAAAGTAAACAATACTATCTCTACATTTTAGTACGATGGTGGAAGCATTCTGCTCTGGGGGTGTTTTTGCTGCTTCTGATCTGAAAACCAGTGATTATCAGAAATAAAGAGCAGTATTTGGCTATTATTAAAATAATATAAAACAAAGTGCAAAAAAGCTGTCGTTGGGGCGTCACTAGACGTTCCAACATGAAAATGACCCAAAACAGACGGCACGAATTGTTACAAAATACTTAGAGAACAACAAAATTAAGGTATTGGCGCACGCCGCACAAAAGCCTGACCTAATCTCATTTGAAAATTTATGCGCATATTTGAAGAAAAAATTAATACAAAGAAGTGATTTGAATTTGGATGAACTAGAAACTATAGCCAAGGAAGAATAGAGCAAAATAATTATCAGTGTGTGTAGTGATTGGTAAGGAACTATCAAAAACAATTAAAGGTAATAATCAAGAATAAAGTTTACACAATTGATTACTGAGGCAAAAGAGCCA